AGGCCTGCGCCTGCCAGATGACCAGATGTACTAGTAGCCACCGGGAGACTGGCGGAGGGTGCTCAAATGCTGTGCGCGGCGGTCACCCTCCCTCGCCGCAACGGGCTCAGGGAGGTTTATGCCCGTTATCTGCTCCTAACTATCAACAGCGGCCCCGCACTCTGAACCTCCTGCCCCTCTCAATCCGGGCACGTGTGTCCTGATCCTTCCCTGCTCTCCCAGGCGTACCCGAGGGGCCTGGAACTCACCACACCAGATTCTAGAAAGCGCATGCTCGGAACAGCCCAGAGCAGAATCTACCCAAGCGCCAGCCACAGGACCGGACACGACGCTCACCCTGGCAGCTCTGCAGCCCGGAGGGTGAAAGCGCGGCCGTGGGCAGTAGTGTGCACAGCTCACGGAAGGGGGGGGGGGCGGCGGACAGTGCACACGCGTGACCCCGGTGACCCCGCCTGGATGCGGGCATGGATGGCGGGGGGCAGATGTGTGCACCAGAGGCTGCAGACCCGTGCAGATCTGTCACCGTGCTGGTGACACAGACCTGCTCACTTCGTAAGTTGAACACTCGGAACGGGCATTTTCTGCTTGGCTAGTTCTCCCCAATCAAAGGTTTCTTATTTTGCGAAGCTAGGCGTCCACTCGGGGGCCTCACAGGGCCTCACAGGGCCTCACAGGGCGGGAGCTCGGCACGATCTCCACCACTGAGCCGCACCAAGGCTTGGCGGGAAGGTATCCCGGTTTGCACAACAGGCCAGATGGTTCCCAGGGCGCCTCTGCTTCTCCCGTCTACTTCCTCTGCCCTGTGGAACGCGGGAACCATCGGCCCCACCGCCACCCGCCTGGCCTGAGCCCCAAGCGGGGCCGCTCGCACCCATCTTCCGGCAGAGTCTAAAACACAAGAGTAAGTCGGCTGTCCCAGAAGCAGCTCACCCCGACGCTTCACGCCCTGCACGTGCCCTTCACAAGCCAACTCTGGGCATCAGAAACCACTTCCTGTGGGGAAGACCGGTTCTGGTGGCAACACGGCTCGGGGACTCCCGCCTGGCTGCGGGCCCAGGCCTACACAGCTCCCCCTGCTCCCCGTCTGCACACGCCGGCCCCCCACGTCCAGCCGACCGCTGCAGGACCTGCTGGAGCCCATCTCCGGGAGGCCCCTGACCCCCACCTGCGGCTCCTACTCTTTAAGCACCTGGCCCCCCACCCCCTCCGAGTCTACAGCGCAGGGACCTGCCCGCTGACTGTACCCGGAGCCTGGCCTAGCTCTTGGATGCAAAGTAGGCTCTTGAAGAATGAATGAAATAGTTTCAGCCTCCTGGCAGCCTCGATTGTTACTCAGCTTGCTCGGGTGTATTCAGGTCCCGATTCCTCCAGATCTGACAGTTTGCTAGGACTCATGCATGTTTTGATCCCCAACTCACTCGCTCTCTGCTTAATACTGGAAGGGAAAGAAAGCGAATTCAGGGCATTTGCAATGCAGAAGCCACGCAGGCGGGGGTCGGCGGGGGAGCCATTTGGATGTCCAGGGTGTGGGTCACCCGCAGGGGCAGGAGCCGCGGCCCACCCCGCCCCCACGGCACGCATTTGCCTCCCGATTTATTTATACCCGCCTCCCTCCGGCGAAGGTTTGAGGTGGCGTACAAAAATACACACAATGCAAAATAAAAAAGCAAGTCGGAGAGGAAATCAGGACGAGGGAAAAGTAAGAGTGGGCAAAAAAACAAGATCAAGTCGGCTCGCTAGAAATGGGACTTTAAAAAGTTGGCCAAGTTTCCGCAGCGCCCACCGACTCTCCGCGCCCGCGTCCCTTTCTCCCAGGGGCAGGGCCGCGAGGCGCAGGGGACGCCGCGCCCCGGCGGGCGGC